AAAAGAAATTACATAGTTACACAATGAACACAAATAAAAATCATATGCCTCAGAGTAACATACATCTTTAGGCAAAATTTATAAATTGCAAAAATTTTCAGCAGGGAACAAAAAGGTATCCTTGTGAAAAAACAGATACACTAATGGCATGCCATGATAGAGAAGATATTGCAGAGATTTTAAAAATGTAATAGTAACCAGCAAAAATCTGAAGAAACTATCATTAAAAAGTCTTTGGGGAATGGGGCTGGAGAGATGTCACGGTGGCTTCTGCTCTCCAGGAGGATCTGGGTTCTATTCCCAGTACCCACATGGCAACTCATAAATACCTGTAAATTCCAGCTGTAGGGAATTCAAGGCCCTCTTCTGGCCTCTGTGACAGAAAGCACACATATGGTGCACATACACAAATGCAGACAAACTCAAATATAGATAAGAAAAAATAATCTTTTTTAAAAATCTTGAGAGCTGAAGATTGAATGCTTGCCTTAGCATACAAAAGTCAAGGATTTAATCTAGAGCATTTCAATAGTGTGGGGGGTGGGGGTGGGGTGGGGGTGGGGGGGGCTGTTTTCAAAAACAAATGTATATAACTACTCAGCTACTCAAACATAAAATATTAAGGTACAAATTAAAATTTATTATACTTTTGAAAGGATTTTATTTGGAATTTGGTATCTAATATCTTTGCTAAATTTGACTGTATCATAATTATGCAATATTACATTACTTTTCTACTTATAGTTCATGAAAATACTGCCCAAACTCCCAGGTTTCTCTTATGCTATATAAGTAATTAAATTCTTTGCTATATGCATTATGATGTGGAAAAGGGTGGGACTGTAAAAGCTGAGAAAAGCACTGTGATGGTTAATTTATCAACTTGAAACAAACTAGAATCACCTCAGTAGAGAGTCTGAATGAGGAATTTTCTACACTGGGTTGGCATCTAAGCTCATCTATGGTGGACTTTCCTTACTAAGTTAACTGACGTAGAATGAGCCAGTCCACTATGGGCAGCACCACAGGTCCTAAACTGTATAAGAATAGAGAAATCCGCTGGAAGCACAAGTAAGCAAGCAAGCAAGCAAGAATGTATTCATTTCTCTCTGCTCTTTACTTGTAATGTGATATGGCTAGCTAAATAAAGGTTCTGCCTTGACCTCCTCACAATGATGAACTTAAGAAAGTATAAGCTGACATGAACATATTTTTTACCTAAGCTGCTTTCTGTCAAGGTATTTTATTATAGGAACACCAATGAAACTAGGATAAGCACTAAGAGCTAAAAGACAATATAGGCCAAAGTTTCTGGTTTAGGCAAATCACAGAAAAAAACTAAGCTACGGATAAAAAAGGTGAAGAGAGTACGTCAATTAATTGGTGTCAATTGGAATAGATTGTCATATTCCAAAGAACATTACCAAGTATTTACTGGGTAGTAAGACATACAGCAGTCCCTCAATGCTGAAATGTAAGAGACATAATTTTTATAAAGTGGGGAGAGGAAAAAAAACTGGAAATGTGAGTTGGACAGTGTGGCACATGCCTTTAGTCCCAGCACTAAGGAGGCAGAGGCAGGCGGATCTACATGAGTTTGAGGCCAATTTGGTCTACAAAATGAGTTCCAGGACAGCCAAAGCTATTACACAGAGAAACCCTATCTCAAAAAACAAAATGAAACAAAAAACTGAAAATGTAAGATTTCCTTAGAGGGTATTCAGAATTTAAAGAGGAACAATAATTTAAAATGTACAGCTGGCAGTCAGAAAGAACTACCAAGAAATAAAACCAAAAAACCTTGAGATCAAATGAAGCCCAGTACATGGACACAAGCATTTTAAAAAGTAAGAAACCAGTCAACACAGTAAAATTCTGATAGAAGGCCAAAACTATCTAATACTGGGAGGTGTAGAAAATCAATTTTAGTGAAAGAGCCAAGGTACAGTGGCTTGAGAACTGAGCGCCAAGTTTGTGGAGATAATTGTTCCACAAAGTAGTTACAAAAAAGAGGGTAGGAGATTAGGTTCATGGTTTGGTTTTGGGATTCATTTAAATATAGAAGAACATTTCTAACCACTGCCAGAAAGGAGCCAGTATGAAAGCAACAATGAAGAGAAAGAATAGTATGTGGAATAAATTTATTGATTATTGCTAAATTCTCAACATCCTTATCTACCTTGGAAGAATAATCTCAATGATTGTAATAAACATTATATTCCTAATAAAATTTGGTCTTTTTATCTTGAAGATAACCTAATCACTTTTAAATGATAGCCAAGGCAAGATTTAAAGAAAAAAAGAAAAAAGAAACAGGTACTTGCATTCACTAACACATTTCCATTCTCTCCATATATTTAACTTTCTATGTGCCAACTCTATGCATTCCTCAGAAGTGGAATAAAGAGCTATCATAATAACGGCAATATTGTAATTTGTCTTTAAAAGTAGACTGAGATAAAATAAAAACAAATTAATAAAACTTTAATTTTAGGACAGACTGGTATTACCAACAAAAATGGATTGCTAAAATATCTGGACTAAATAAAAGTACAATTTATATTCACAATAAGTTGTCCCTGGTTAATTTTTAATTTTTTTCACTAACATTAATATTTTAATTGGGTTGGCCAACTAAGTAATAGTTGGACTATCCCTTCCACCTAACAGACTAAATAATCTACTGTGTCAATTTCCACCAATGTATTCAACAAGAGAGATTTTTATCATATGAAGTCATTCACTCTCAGAACAGTTACAGAAAGTCTCCATGTATCTGGCACTCTTTTGTTGAGAATACAAAGGTGGAAGGAATGAATAAAGCAGAAAAGGGCTGCTCCTTCTGTGGTACCTGCATTCTCTTCCAATAAAGATAGAAAAATTTTAAATTGCCAAGAAACAAACACTAGTAAGGATTCTCCAAAGAAAGAACACTTGAGCTAAGAGCACTGTATGAAGAAGAATGGCCAATCATACAATAACCATCCCAGATGAGGTAGCTGATAGATGTCCTGGACATTTCAAGTTAGTGCTGCTATACAGCAAAAGTCAACCTATCTAAAACTTAAGTTATTGCTTGATATATGCAGGTAGAGAAATATGAGTAGAAATCAATTTATACAATGTATATTATATGTAGCTAGTTATTAATCTTATAAATATGTATAGGCATACTGAATTATTAATAATGTAAGAAACCTAAAATATTTGGCAATGTAACATATAGGCAACACTCATATTTTTATATACAACCACATAAAAAATATTAATGTACAAAAGGCTTTAAAAATACCTCACAGGTGGTTCAAGGTTAGTTTGTATGTTACTCAATGGCAATCCTTTCATACATTCTTATACAGGGTGACTTACATGTGCTCTTTCTCTTAAAAACTAGTTCTACACTGAATAAGCAGTAAACATATGGAGAGAGAATCTTACTTTTAGCAAATATGTCAACTGGTGATCCATCAGGTAGAAGCCATGGCCAACCTTTGAACTGCCAAGCAGGACCTTGAACAAAAACAGCTACAACCCGATCCCTACAAGCAGAAAGAAGGGAGTGGAAGAGAGAAGAATATCTCAAACTTGAGCTTTAACTATGCAAGTCCTTAAAAAGAAGTTTCCTAATTATTCATGGGACAGTCGTCCCAGCAGTCCTCTTGGTGAGACAAACATAGTTGACATTTTACTATGTTGGTAGGATATAAACCTTAATGACCCTAGCCCCTACCGAAGTCTTAAGGACATGGCTGCAAACAATAGTTTGAGGTCATCTTTGTAATCCTTTTTTCTTCCCTTAAGTAAAGACTTACAGACTGGAATACAGATCGGTAGCTGATTTATTAATTGAACACACTGGTTTTAAAAGGAAGTTATTGGAAATTCAAATAAATATTAAATATTTGAATTTAATTAAAACACTAAATTATAGGAATTCCCCAGCCATTTTGTGAAACTTTCAAAGACTTACTTTTAAATCTTATGGTTCCTTAGGAAGAAATCTAAGTATAAGATCACCTCAACATTTCTAATTTATCAAGCTTTAGACAACTATTTTATTTACAGTAAATGTTAGGTTTTTAAAGAAACTTGTTTTTTTTTCCAGCTATACAAACTAATTTTCCAAGAAAAAAACAAATCTCTAGGTCTTCACATTTCATTATTTTGCATAATATTCAGTTAAAAATTCTATAAAGTACTGCCATAAGCAGTTTAAGTATACAAGAGTCAGGAACAAAATAATGATGGTTACTTACCATGAATAACATTAACTTAAGTATTTACTAAGTGACAGTGTTGTTTTAAGCACACTATAAATTAATCATGTTAATACATTTCATCTGGTGAGGTGAATACTACTGTACCCTATTTTCAGATGAGGAGACAAATATATGGCTATGTTAAAGAACAGTCTACTAAACAGAAGGCAAAGAGAGAGAGAGAGGGACAGGGGAGAGAAGAAGGAAGGAGAATAATGATTAATCTCAGGCATTGGGTAGGAAAGTTCCATTTAAGGACTGATATATCAAGAGATATAAATCACCTGCATATTACTACAGAAACAGGCTGCCCTTTAAAAGGTCTACAGAATGCCTAGGGATCTTCATACCACACAATAATAATCCCTGCCTTAGATAACAACTCTATACACCTAACAAAACAATTAAGCAGTTACTATGTTCAAGACCTACAGTAAACCAGGTATGGAATTAATGCCAATAACCAGTTTTCAGGAGGCTAAAGCAAAAGGAGTGCTGTGAGCTCCAGCTCAAACTAGAGTGAGGCTATTCTTCAACAGACAGACACAGACACACAGACAGACAGACAGACAGACAGACAGACACACACACACACACACACACACACACACACACACACACACACAATGACAACTAGCAAAGTCACTCAGGAAAACAGCAACCTGAAAATTCCTACTCTTCTCAAAGTTTCTGAGGCTAAAGTTAAACCATAAATAAAAATATTTCCTTCTGTGGAATATATATCCCAAACTTTCAAAAACATCTTTAAAAGTACAGCACACTACTAAATAAATTAGATGTAACTTACACCATATAATAATTATTACTATAATATGTATGTAATTGCATATATTTCTAGAATATCAGTATTATTATATAGATCTTCCTATATGGATTAATAAATTTTCTAAGATAATTTCTATTTAGAACCTGTTATAAAGTATGATACCTATTTATATCGTTTAAAAAATGGGCAGGCAAGATAGCTCAGCAGGTGAATGCACTTGCTACCAAACCTGACAACCTGGGTTTGATCCAGGACACACACAGTAGAGGAGAAAAACCAACTCCTACAAGCTGTCCTCTGACGTCTGCAATCATACCATGGCATACTCATACACACAAAATAAATATTTAAAAATAAACTTTAAATGCAAACAAAACGTTAATGCAGAGAGAATGGGGGAGAAGGGAGAGAGAGTGGGGGAGGGAGGGAGAACCTTACCAATCTTGAGGCATAAGTTTCAGGGGCTGGTCTACTACTCTATAAGGTACTGTGACACTAATGGCGGTGCCCCCTGGTTGCATTTGATCTTTTCTTCTCTGTATTAGTGTTTCATTTTCTCGTTGACAACCTTGTTTCTTCTTTTCATCTGATGGGACAAACCTTTGAAAGAGTAGAGAAAAAGCACACAATATGATGAAACAAGGAAAATATATTTTTAAATACTTTTTGAAATGTTAATATTTTAAGCTAAAATGTTTGCCTTACATGTAGATCTTATGAGTTGGAAAGATACGTTCCTTTTTGTTTTGTTTTGATTTTGGTTTTTGAGACAGGGTTTCTGTGTAGGCTTGCCTATGCTGGAAATAGGCTGTGTAGAGCAGGCTGCCCTCAAACTCAGAGATCCGCATCTACCTCTGTGTAGCTGGAAGTTTTCCTGTGTCCCAACCTGGCCCATGGTCAGGACAAATCTCTCCCACCTGCAGGTCCCGTAGCCGCTCAGACCCAAATAAATACACAGAGGCTTATATTATTTACAAATGATATGGCCTAATGGCTCAGGCTTCTCACTAGCTAGCTCTTACATCTTAAATTAACCCATTTCTATAAATCTACACTCTTCCACTGTGGCTTACCAGTACTTTACATCTTGCTTCTTCTGGCAGCTAGCAGCATCTCTCTGCTGTCTTTCTCCTTCCTCTCTCTAGTTAGAATATCAGGCAGTGGCAGCACACGCCATTAATCCTATCACTTAGTAGGTAGGATCTCTGTGTGTTCAAGGCCACACTGGAAACAGAGCCAGTCTCCACTGGACACTTTTTTAAAAAAAACTTCTATACTTTTATATTTCAGAAAAATTAAGAAAAGTGAGATTAAACTTCTGTGTTACTTTTAAGATTCTAAAGTAGGAAAATCAGCATATATTAATAGTCTGTTCTAATAAACACCTTTAATACTATCATATAACAGTATTTATAAATTCTATGTGGTTCAATTTTCTACTGTATCCTCCCCACAGAAGACATACTATAAAATAGCCTAACATTCTGAAGAGGTGCTACCACTCTAGAAACTGGTAGTGTTTTACAAGCTATAATGGTTAGCATGTTAGCTGTCAACTTGACTCAATTTAGAATGGTATGAAAACATTCCTTTGGGTGTGTCTTGGGGAATTCGGAAAGGTTTAACTGAAGGAGGCAGTTCCACCTGGATTATAGACAACACTATTCCAAATGTTGAGGCATGTGGCTGAATAAAAGTAAAATAACACCAGCATTTATTTCTCTCTGCTTCCTGAATCAGATACAGTGTGACAACCTGTCTCACTCCTGCTGCCAGGGCTTTCCACAGGGGAGACTATATACACCCTACAACTGTAAGACAAAAGGAACCCAAGTTGCTTCTGTCGAGTATTCTGTCAGAACACTGAAAAAAGTACCTAATACTTAATTGGGTATAAACACTTGTAATTTTTAAAGTAAATATAATCCAAACATATGGTCCATTAGTCATGGCTTAGCCTCTCCAATGAGATCAATACAACCGCTGCAATTGCAGAGCAGTGCTTCCAAAGGCTAGGGAAGATGAAATGGTAAAGGGATAAGGGCTAAGAAATAAGAGTTGGCTGTGGGGTTAGGGTTAGGGTTGGAATGCATTAAGTCCACACTAGGAAGGGCTCCTTGAAACTTTCTATAAAGTAATGCTAATTTTGTGGTCATGAAAGATTTTAGTGCTTGATAATAACAGCAGTACAGAAACTATCTGAGAGGACCTGATTTTATCTTTATTTTATATCTGCTAATCATTTCCTCCTGTATAATTTTTGCTCATTTTTAATTAATCAAGCTTATACAGAAAATGCCAAATTTAAAGCAGCACTTTAAATAAAACATAGTTTTAAAATATTGTATATAATGTTGGAAACAATAAAGGAAAGTATTTAGTAAACATGCACATGCAAATGAAGCACATTAAATGTCAGAATGCATCTACATGGTTGAGTCTGTGCTCTTGAACTCGTTTCAGACGCGCACAAATCTTAGCACCAAAACTAAGTTGGTTTTCTTGGCCTCAGTCTCTACCTAGCTGAGGTTAAATTGCTCACATTTATAAATACCACATTTTTCTTTCTGAATTCTGAAATGTTATAAAAAAAGTACTTCGATAATTAATTATAAAATAAAAACAAATGATATTACCCAATTAATAAAGTTATTACATACCTAATCCAACCTATTTCCTAACAAATAAGAGTTATGTAGCACCTGCATGTTTCTACACTGATTGCTTCAGTTTTATTAAAGTTCAGAACAACTCATATGATCCAGAAGTTTAAAAAATAACTAAGTTTTTCACGTGTTCTAGTATTTTAATGTCTGCTTGTGTCAAGGTATGTTTTTATTTTAAGAACAGCAGAGTTCCTCTGTTAACAATAAGAAGAACAATAACTATTTCAAATACTTTCCTCCTTTGGTCAGTTGATAACATAAAGATAAATAAAATAATAAATAAATAAAATAATACTTAATGGAAAAAAAAAAAAGAACACTGCACTGAGTTTTAGTTAGGCACTGCCATTCACTAGTTGGCTTTGGGGACCTAACCCCTTTCTGGGCTTAAATTCCTCACTTACTGTGTGGGCACTGTGGTGATATCTTGTTTGTGCTCTACCAAATAAACCATGCCTGGAAATCAGAGTGTGGAGCTAGCCACTAGAGGCCAGGCAGTGGTGGCACACACCTTTAATCCCAGCACTAGGGAGGAGGAAATAGGAAGTGATATGATTGGGTGGAGACAGGAGCTCAGCCCCTTTCAGGCTGAACATTCAGGAGAAGTAAGAAGTCTCTCTAATGGCTGGCTCCTTTACTGATCTTTCAGCATTTACCCCCAATATCTGGCTCCTGGTTTTTATTATTAAGACCAATTAGGATTTGTGCTACAGGGCACCATCATCTCAAAGTGGGCATAAGACATCCCACCCCTTAGGGTTTTACGCAGGACAATGGAATTGAAAGGGAAAAATCAGTAGCCATCTTGAGAGGCACTTCCCCCTCCCCTCCTCCAAAGGCATTTGCTGACCAGTAGTTTTAGAATTGATCAGAAGTTGAACTTAAGGCTGGGACAATAAATCTATGTATGCTGGACTTGGCAAAACAAGATATGAGGAGTAATGGGCTCAACTGACCAGAAGTTGACCTTGGAGAAGAGTAGGACTGGAACAATAAATCTGAATGTATATATCCTGGGTTCAACAAAAGCAGGACATGGGGAGTAAAAAATTTATGTCTCTGTAGTTACCCTGAATCCTGTTAGCCATCAGTAACCTCATGCTTATAACCAGTAACTTCAAAGAACTACCTTACCCCTAACCCCCTCATCCAATCCCAAGCTGCATGTAAACCTTTCCTATATAAACCCCTTCAAGTGAGTGCTTGGGGCGTTCTCATCCACCTGCTATGTTGGACGAGAATCAAGCTTGTTTGTTTTGTTATTAAAAACCTCTGTGTGCTTGCATCGGGAAAAAAAAAAAAAACAGCAGAGTTCCTCTGTTAACAATAAGCAGCAGCTCTATTTCAAATACTTTCCTCCTTTGGGGAGTTGATAACATAAGGATAAACCTTATGACTGCTTTTGAAGTTCACTAGAAAGATTATATGCTACTTGTTCATCTTGCTGAAGATCATCAAACCTAAGAGACACTAAGGTCTAGTATACAAACTCTATCAAAAATATTCACTGCCAACTAAACTCCAATACTTTAATGATACTGCACATAACTGAAAGCCACTATCCCTCTACTGGAATTGGCTACTTCTTCTAGCAGACTACAATGCTTGATGTTATGACAGAAAAATTTTCATTTATACCTCAAGAACAATAATAAGCAGAGCTTTACCTACAGTACAAGTTCTCTATAGAGATCATTTAGATCTTCAAAGTAATTATAACAACAAAAGTTTGTAATCTTCTCACAAAGTAGAATTCATTTTAATTTATTTTTGCACATATAACATTGGCATAAAATTTACACACAATTAAATATAAAAAAGTTTAAATTTATACCCAGAGCATGTTCATTTAAAAAAAAAAATGTGATATCCACTGACGCCTTGTGCACTTTCAATCAGTCAATTCTCATCACTCTTCTCTCAATAATCACTTTATATTCCCATCAGGATAAACTGGTCTTGCCATATTCATATACATAAAGTCCTATAGGACATAATCCTTTGTAGCTGGCTTCTTCAATCAAGTGTTTCTAATATTCAACCACACTGTGGGAACACAATCAGTAGTTTGCTCTCTTTTACTACTGAGTGGTATTTTATCATTAGACTTCAGTACTGAAAATGATTTTGTTCTTGCTAATTGTGGGTGTACGGGTGTCATAGTTCATTTGAGATATTATAATAAAAACATGACAGACAAGGTGGCTTCTAAGACAACTTTTATTTCTAACATTTCTAGAAGTTGAGGTCAAACATCAAGATGACAACAGACTTGAAACCTCGGGAGGAAAGAATTACTTAGTGTTTCAGCCTGCCACCTGCACTCTATGTCCTCACAGTGAAGAGAGCAAGAGAACTCTGAGGTTTTCACTGCAACGGTATTAATCCTATTACCAAGGGCAGAGTTCTCATCTTAATTAGCCCCAGTCTTAGTTACTTTTCTAGTTGCTGTCACAAAATAAAAAAAAGCTTGACAAATAAAACTTAAGGAAAGAAGAGTTTATTACATATCTCATAGTTCAGAGGTCCAGTCAGTCCCTCCCGGCTAGGAAGTGATGGCAGCAGGAGCTCGAGGTAGCTGGTCACATTGTAACTACAGTCAGGAAACAGAGAGCCACGAATGCCCCTCACAGTTCCCTTTCTTCATTTTATCCACTGTAGGACCCCAGCCCATGGAATAGTGAGTGCTGTCCAAAGTTCACTGGTTTTCCCATCTCAGCTAACCTATGCAGACAATCCCTTACAGCTATGTCCAGAGGTCTGTCTCCTAGGTGATTCTTGATTCTGTCAAGCTGACAATATCAACCAACACATCTCCCAAAGTCTCCTCTTTTTTATATCATCATATGAATGATAAATTTAAATATATGAAATTGATAGCAGAACAAACATTCAGTCCTCACCAGAAAGGTTCTAAGACATGGATTAGTACAA